CCAAGCTTCCTGTCTGTAGCAGGAGGTCCTGCGCCGACACAGACGAGTCTTCAGGAAGGGCCAGCAGACGGCAGGATGACATGGCCCCAAGCAGCCGGCTGATGCGACAGTCCAACAGGTCTGTTGCCATTTTGGCCACCAGGTCCAGGTCTTTGAGAGCCACATACACATTCTGCAGGACTGACACAGAGTGGAAGGGAATCATTATCGAATGCTTATAAATCTGATGTCCTTTCTTTGTATATTAGCACAACAACAATGAGACGGGAAGCTGTCCGTCCTTACACCGCTCAGTGTTGAGAGAATTCCAGGACAGTGAGGTGAGCCCAGGGGAGAGAGCTTCCTCCACACGGCCAATGAAGGGCTGCATGAGGGGGAGGAGGAGAGGTGGCACCCTGCCCACCACAGAGCTGTAGTCCTGGAGCATCTCCAGCAGTCTGGACCAGAGTCAGCACCATCAAAGAAAACACAAGTTTACCAAAGTGAAGAAGAGATGAAGACAAGAGTCTGAGACAAGAAGAGTAACGTTGCAGAGAAAATAAATCATGATGTTGTTTAATCAAGAACAAGCGCCTTGTTTCTGTGAGCTTTTCTATCCAGCACAGAGTGAAGTAACAACATCATGATACAAACCAAAGAAAAGACATTCATGTGATGGATTTGAGTGAGAACATCACAGAATGAGCTGCTGATGCGCCTACAGCTGGAGTGAACAGCTGCTCTCACCGGCTGTACAAATCTCTGAGCTCTGATTCCCTGGAGGTCATCTTCTGGATGACCTTTGGCATGTTCACTCCCAGTTTGGTCATCCACCGAGCTTCCTGCAGCACCTCCAGCACCACAGGGTCCAAGTTCACCGAGACCTCCTGAAATAAAGAGGCTCTTTCAAATGTTCAATAAAATCTCAAATCTAACAACAAATTTAAGGATCCAGGATCCAAAGGAAAGTGGAGTGTGTTAGTTCACTGTCTGCAGAAACAAAAGCAGTCGGCTCTGGACTGTCGGTCACATGACTGAAATGTGTAAAAACGATTTGTTCAAATCTGAAAAAGATGATTAAAAAGTTAAACCCACACACAACCTTTAAAAGCTGCTTTCATTCAGTCGTCACAAACCTTGCTGTCTTCATGTCGGACCAGCAGGGCGGCGCTCAGGCAGCGTGGCGCGCTCTCTGCAGCCTGACTCCACCCCTGCAGGTGCAGCACCTCGTACTGCAGCAACACCA